CGGAGGAGGGTCGGAGGAGTTGTCGTTCCTATCCCGAAGGCCTGCGGATGACCGACTCTCCCCAATTCCCCCGTTTAGGCTCAACTTTCACGAATAATATTCGATCAATATTTCTATTTATGTATGTATATACACGTACGTATACATATTGTTTATTCTATTTATTATTATATTATTACTATTATTATTATTTATATGTATGCATACATATATATGTGTATTTGAATCGAAATTGAGAGAAGGGTTACCTCGGGCCGGTGCTGAGTGTAGGCCTGGAATATCATCGACTGCCGAGGTCGATTCTTCTTTTGCTCAGGTCCCTGCCGGGTTCCTCGACTTTGAGATTTTGATCGCTTATCCGTCGGTGATGTCGGCCTAATTTTATCTATTTAATTTATTACAACATTGTTAGGGACCTTAGCTTTACATTTTTCACAAAATACTAAGCCCGCATCATATTTACTCTAATTAATTTTATTATTGGGCCCATATCTAATCAACTCTAACTTCACTACTAAGGCCCAAAACAAAACCTAACTCCTTCCTATTTGTGCTCGCGATTAGTAGATTGCGCAGAGAACTTTTCCCAAATTGCCGATTTGCTCATCTTCTACGGCGAACACCCACAACATTGAGCCCGTTAATTATCATAATATCGTTTCTTTCAATTAATTCCCATCTCTGCGTTGGTCCGACGTCGGGATCTGAGGACGGCAACGGGAGATCGGCGTCCGGGTTTGAGGGCGGTACCGGAGGCTAGGCGGTTCGGCATCCGCGAGGTCAGCGGCGCGGCTGTGGTGTTGGCCCGACGTTTCATGTTTGTGCTGCGGTGCCGACCTGAAGTTAGGTCGGGCACGAGTTGTGGTCGGGCGCCGAACGGAGTTGTGAAGCTCGGCGGTGACGTCGGTGTTGACTAGTGGTCGGTTTGTGGTGGGGTACCGGCCTGAAATTCGAGGTTGGCGTTGGACAATTTCGGGCCTGCTACAGCGTGATGACTGGTCGGGGTAACGGTTCGAGATCGACGGTGAAGGTGCTGACCCGGGTTATGATTTGGGGCTCGGTCCCGGTTCAGGTGACCCGATCACAGCCGTGAGGCGGCGAGGTAAGATTCTGTGCTGTCTTTGTTGCCCGGAGGCGGAGAGAATGTGAAATTAGCTTGGCAGCTTGATGTCGGTCCTGTTGCGAGGTCAGCCCCGACGACACGATGTTTGGGTCGGCTGTTCGACGGCTCGATGTGGGTCCCGGACTGAGACCGGCGCTTGGCTCGCGAGGTCGGCCCCGACGACCGAGGTCTGTCCCACGACTTGTCGTCAGTCCCAGGTTGAGGTCGGCGTTGGGTTAGCCCAGACTTGAAGGTTTTGGAGTACGAATTCGGCGGTTGAGGTGCGGTTGTTGACCCAGTATGTGACGAGGAATACGCCAGCCCGGCACTTGCGGCTTATCGGGTCGGGTTTCAGTGTGGAGTCAGCCCCGACGACGTGGT